GTCGACTTTATAAAATAATTTAATTAAAATTATAGTTAATTAGTGCACTTTATCTGTGTGTTATTATAATGTTACTTATTTGCTAATAACGAATGATGTCTGTGTGAATATTTAAATAAATTGATAATTCATGAATAATGCTGTCAAAACGCGTGACCAAATAACTTACCCTTAAACCTTGGTCAAAAGTGTGCTTAACATGGTTTAACAATGTTTATTGCCAAGATACATCAATATACAAGTTTCTATAGATATCGTAATGACCGCAATAATTATTTGTTTTATCATTACAAATATGAAAATTATATGAAGCCGGGTATTTCATATTGTGGTGGTGATGGTGAGTGTATGTGCATCTAAATATTAATAGTTCACAAATATATTATCCCATAGGTATATATGTTTTTGGATTAATTGCACACCAAACTACCTCCACATAAAAGTTTAAAAAATAAAATGGCGAAGTAAAAAGACCTATAGTTATATTTTAATATATCAAAATATTTTATTTATTAACACTTATTAAGACGTTAAAAAGACAGACATTAAAATGAATTGCTTTATAATTATAGCCGTGAAGCAAATTAACCAAACGATAAACACGATATGAACAGCATGAAAGCACTATATTATTACATACATAGCTTAGTATACAAATAATCTGCAAGGTGTGAGTGGGGAACTATAGCAGTTAAACAAACTTTTATATACAACGGGCACAAAGTATTTGACAAGTGTGGAGGTATGTTAATCGATAAAGGACCGCAAATAATGGGAATAAGGATGATAATGCGGTACTATATGGAAGTAAATGATAAAGGTGCGCGTGCGCAGACCCCTCCCAGTGTGGTTGCGCACGAGCTCTTCTTCCGAGAGCCACACCTGGCTTTGTATTTCTAAATTAACCAAGCATATACTTAGAATTAAAGACTGAATAAAACGATTTACATAATAAGACTTTTAAATATAACTTTAAAGTCAAAATAAATATCAATTTACTACCATAAAAAGAAGTTATTTTAAATCTATACTAGTGTTATAAAGCTGAAAAGTTTGTTTGTTTGAACATGCTGATCTCAGGAACTACTGGTTCTAATTAAAAAAATATTTTTGTGTTAGAGCATTTATCTGGGGAAGCTTTAGGCTATATAAAATATCACGCTGCTATCTTTTAAGATTAACTTGCAAGAACGACGGGACGCGACCAATGTCGTGGATAACAGCTATAATTTATAAAAATAATAGGTAAGGTTTGCAAGAACAGATTTTGATGCCCATAATAATAATTCTACGCGGACGAAGTCGCTGGTACAGCTAGTTAAAATAATACCGAGACCAAAACAGAAGATATACGTAAAGGTCTTGACTAAATTATGTGTTAAATTAAACTCGTACGAAGCGATAGCTCAGAAAAAAAAGATATAAGTAATTAGGTATTATAAACTTTTGCAACGTGGCTAGGCAAATCTTAGCGAAAGCGTTTTATTAAATCACAACAGATAACAACAGCGATTAGATACGTTCTCAACTAATTGCTTACCGCTAATCAACATCATGCTTGAAATTCATTGGTCATTCGCTTTCTATAAAATACAGTTATGTATCACGAATATCCGAATACGTGAAAAGTCGGTATTTTAAAAGACATTCAAGACATATACGATTACCATCTTTATGTTTAAATATCTATGTTTTAAACCGTTAAAGAGTTTTATTTAAACGTGTACTACCCGCGTAAACTACAGACAGTATTCAATTAACCACCTTTATGTTATCAACGTTGCCGATACCAATACTTAATTGAAATTCGATATAAGATAGATTGTTTAGTAGTGAGGTTTAATAGGAAGATTTTAACAGAAATCTATATCGTTTCTAATAATAACTATTATAAATGTTGCTTATCAATACAGATAAAACAGCGTAATAATATTATTTTGAAAACGTTTCCTAACAATTTTGGCTAATTAGAGGTTTGCTTACACTTTAGAAATTAGTTGATGCGCCAACGCCAACACAATCTAGATCAAGAATTTTACATTCCCGGTCCTATGTAGATCTACTAGAATAATAAAAACAGCAATAGATAACGGTTTACTGCAAACAGATAACGTGATAATCAAAATAATTATTATAGTATTGTAAGATGTATAACATATTACTTTGAATATATAAGCTGCAAGTACTGGAAAATTAATAGTATTCTACAACAATGCATCACTTACCTGCCATTGCTTTTGATGCTATGCATAAGAATAGACAACCACAATGAACATAATGACCAAGTCTTATCCGTTATTACAAAGACATAACGCGTACCTATAAGTCTAATATTAATACTAGTGCATAGCATTAGGCAATACAAAAAAATAGTTTAGAGGTCAAAGGAATATAGATAAAGTTCTATATAGAGGATTGTAATCAATATCTAGATTTAAATAGTTAATGATAAGATTGTGGATTATCAAAAATGTTTTAAAGTTTCATTAATTGATGTCTGCTAAGTGTTATTCAAGTGTCGAATGAAATGTTTTTAGAAGTTAGTTTTAGAACATTTTTAAATTATGCCCACCTATTTATTTTATAATACAAAAAAGAAGTACGCTGATAAGAAACTTCAAATCGTCATAGTAATCAACTCGTATATAAAAATCCGGTCTCAATAGATGCCTTGAAAGACACCTCTTATACAATTAAGTTTGTCTTTAAGAAACAAATGAAACATTAATGATCTATTAGCATAATCGTGTTCGACTTGTATGCTAATTCGATCATGTCACTCATACTCTAGGCTTCGGTACACGAGGTGTCGCGTGACCGATGTCACTTTCCCCAGCATCAGCGCCAGGTTTCTGTTTCGAAGGCTCGAATGAACTCTCTCCTGGAGAATGTTCGAGGGTGCATCTTTGTTTTTAAAAGATCTGAGTTTTTTTTTGAGCTTTGGTATAAATATTTGGCTTGAAACAAATAGGATAGGTTTTCGGTCAGGTTGTAGCTCCAAAATTCAAACCGAGGGTTTGGTTTTAAAACCACCTATATGGAAGTATTTCAAAGGTAATGTTAATAACCTTAAAAGTGCTGTGTGCAAACTTCGCGAATTAAAAATACCCCGTGGTGGCGTCGAAAGAAAGGCGTCTACATCGCGAATGTCAAATCTAATGCAATTTTTACTTGCATTTGTACAAACGAGGTCATCTCCAAAATTGTGAACATCACAGAGAGACATCGGATATTCTCGACTGCTTAAAAGGTTATTCAATAGCATAAATACAGACACAAACACGAAATCACTATAAAAAACCTCGAATGGCATTGAATTTAACTTCCAATAAAATGATTAGAGACTTCCACTCTCTGTAGCAAGACGTCGCGTTGTTAGGAAGCATTCATCTTATATCCGCCTAATCTGCACTCGCACAGAACAGCTACGCGGATGCCAATTAAAATTATATAATTCGGATAATTCTCGCTTCGGATTACGTGAATCATAACAGTTGAAATTGTGTCATTGGACTTCGAGAGAAGTGAACTAGTTGTGAGGTCGCGCTCTAGAATTTTGGTTTTAATTAATATTTTTTGTAGCATTATAAAAATGAAATCAACTTTTATATGTGTTTTTAAAGAATCTTATAATTTTCATGTAAACATACCTATATCATATTGCTTAATTTTTTTAAGAAGAGATTTTCAGTGAGATTCTTATATATTACTAGCTCTTGGTAGAATTAGAAAGATGCAAGGATTAGCATAGAAGGTCTGTGTGAATTGATAAATTTGTTAAAACCACTACAAATGATAATTAATTTCTTTAGTAAAAACATAAATTTTAAACCTTGAGTTTAAGGGCCGGCCTTTACTTTTGATCTTTGTTACATAAAATTAGTATTATTTTTGCTGAAGAAATTTATAGAAAAATTGATCTAAATTCAATCATCCATTTAGTAGCTAACAGTTTCACTGCACAACTATATTTTTTTGTGGACGGTCTAGATACAGATAAACTTATTTATTTTATTTCAAAATATAAAATCTAGACCATAACTAATGATTAGGTGAACAAAAAAGTTTTATTGATACTAGGCAAAACATAGGCAGTGACATTGGCACACTGTACTAGTTTCTGTTGCGATGCACAAATAAACAATTTTCATGTAAAACGACTTGGCAGAAGCCCAATCTATACTTTCTGAATGAAAGTTGGAACTTATTTATAGATATTATGTAGAATTACGCAATTTTAATCAGTAAGTTTTAATTCATTTGTAGACATCTGTAGGTGAATTTGAAAATATAATTCCAAAATATTATATGAAAAGATCTATTTTTTACCATATTACAAATAAGAGTATATTCATACTAATAGAAAATGTTGGGAATGGTGAGGTCATCACAGAGATAATAGATTTTATTAATCTAGTAATAAAATGAGACATTTAATGACACACTTTTTATGTTGTATCTTTTGTTTACTCTTGTGACTGTATAAAGACAATGTACTTTAATAGTTAGTACAATACTGATAGTTACAATTGCATGTACCACACAGTATATCTTTTTACTACTAAGTACTTCCTATTTTAAAATCCTATTAGTTAAAGATTAATTTACAAATTAATATTACTAAGCATGATGTATTCTAAAATTAACCCCGTTCTGCAGTCTGAGTCATTAAGCCATAAATGATATCCAAATGACCTCATCTTTATGCCTCTTCAATGTTATGGACTTATACATAATGCATCAGACACACAAAACAACAGCAACTGACCTAAATAACGCGCATTATACGTGCAGTAATAATATACTTTCATCCACGAAGCTAGCACGACTAACATGCTAAACATGTACTTCACTGTAACCAAGCTTCGAGATAAACGAGTACGAAAATCCCTGACATTGCCAACTCTACAAAACATGAATAAGTAAATGCTGTAAGTTGACCGTAGTAGATTATCTTCAAAGTATAGGTACACGTGTAACAAAACTATTATTTACTATACCTTTATTATAAGCTCGATCTCTGGAACGTCCCCGTTCGCAGTCCCATTTTCTGCAATTTCATCCGACATTGTTTATCCAAAAATACACACGAAATTCTCTAATAAAATATCGTTCCAATTTCACAAGACACACAAACGTCACACTCGTACGATATGAAATAACTGACTCACTTCAGTTCAAACATTGAATCAAAAGTCAAAACCGAATTTGAGTTTGAAGTAACGTTGAGTTAGAATTGAGGAACTTCACGTCATTATAATCATACATTATAATGTTACCAGAAATCTAATTTTATATCACTCATCACAGAACCTTTTTTTTTAATCTTAAACATTTTATAATCATTAAAATTGTTTAATTAATGTGCTCGTCGTAAAGCATTTCAAAGTATTTGTAAGCAATAGAAAATTTTCCAATTTCTTACCTGTAACCGGTTGAAGTTTATATGAACAATTATACCGATTGTCTCATGTCAACGTCACACAAAAAGTATTCTCGTGTTGATTATGACGAAATAGGTCTACGGTGAAATGTTTTGATTTTTGTCACAACATCTAAATAATATTATTCGTGATAATAAATTGAAAAAAAATGAGTGCCATTGATGCATCCGAAACATCCACATCGAAAGAGATGACGTTCGCAGAAAAGCAAGCAGAACGAATGAAGAGACTTCGCACATTACACAATGCTAGAAACGAAGCAAGGACACACAATCATCAAGAAGTCGTGGCTGAGGAGGCCAGGAATAAGTTACCAGCGAACTATGAAGCGAAACGGCGACAAGCAGAATGGCTACTAGAAGACCAGAAGAAACGAGACGAATCTGCAAAAGAAGGAAAGGATTACGACAGGGTAAAGCTATTAAATGTATCCGCAATAGAAGCTGAAAGATTAGAACGAAAGAAGAAGAAAAAGAACCCAGATCAAGGGTTCTCAACATATGAACAGGCTACAGTGCGCCAATATAATAGACTAGTAAAGAATATGCCATCGGCTGACATGGAATTGTATGAGCAACAGAAACAAAAGTATGGAGATGCATTCTATGGAGGGCCTAATGTCATCATACATGGTATGCACAAAGATAGGAAGGAAGCGGTTGACAAAATGGTGGATGATCTTGAAGGACAAATTGCTAAGAGGGCTAAGTACTCTAGAAGAAGGACTCACAATGATGATGCAGATATTGACTACATTAATGAGAGGAATGCCAAATTTAATAAGAAACTTGAGAGATTCTATGGTGAGCATACAGCTGAAATTAAACAGAATTTGGAAAGAGGCACTGCAATCTAATATGTATTTATACATAACGAGTTTGAAGCTATCCCAAACCGTAATGAGGCTGAAGAAAGAGATGGTATACTGTGTACCTTTTCAGTATACTGCTGTCTCGTTGTACTGTGTGGTAAATTAACATATAAGATTATTTTATTTACCAAATCCATTTTACAATTAATAGTAAAATAAAACATTATTGCTCTCAATCATTAGTAGATAATGTTAAATTTTGTAAAGAGCTCTTTTTATTTTAATACTTGATTGAGATATTCTGGAGAAACATAAGATTGTAAAAGAATTTATTGATTTATATTACCGTATTGTTACATCAATAAAAGAGGTAATTTGTAACAAGTTTTATTTAATATGCATGGTAAATACATATACCAAGTCGACAGATACATTTTATGTCCTAATACAATTACTATAAGCATTAGGTAGGTAGGTCCTTAGACTGTCAAAGACCAGACAAACAAAGACCAGAATCTTAATAATAGGTTAAAGATATTATTTTTTAATGTTATGGATCTAATATTATTCATTATTATAAACTACTCTATTTAGTAGCTTCAAGCTTTTAAAGTATGGAACCAAATAAAGTTTTATGATTAATATCTGAATCCTGGCCAAATCAATCTAAAAAGTAAATAATATTCTTTCTTCTAACATTTTACATTTATTCACTTTTAGCTTGCATAAAAAAATCTTTACCTAGCCAAGCATAAATTTATCTTTATGAGTCATGTAACAAAATTAATATGAATAGAAATTGTTTTAAAATTCTTTAATTCTGTAGTAGAAAGAAAATTACATACCAGGACTTACAAAAATGTGCTAGTCAGGCTTAAAGTTATAATTTTGAATGAGAATAGAGAAGATCAACAATATAGAACGACTGTAAGCTCTCATACACAACTCGGTTGTATGAGCTTGCATTGGAAACTAGCACATTTTCACACTACCCAGAAGCGAGATAACAATTAATAAACAATACTTATTTCATAATTATATACATTAAGATGAGCACGAAATTTAATACATACAAATGCTTTTACCTATATTTAAGTACATAAAGCTGTTTACGTTTTGCCTCTTGAAGTTATATCTGCAGGTAAAATTGTAGTTTTATGATACGTATATTATGAGATAATTTTGTTTAGAATTTAATGTAGCAAGGGTAATAATTAAAAAAAATACTTTATTGGTAATTTACACGATTTCTTTTATCAAAAGCTGTGTAGGCATAGGAATAGAGAACCTTTTAAAAACACGGGTTCGTTAATTATAATTATTTTAATACAAATTCGGATGATCGCAACTTTCGAAAATTCTTGTAAAGCACTTGGGTTGTCAAGCTCTTCGGCCTTCGTGATGGAGAACAGTTCCTCAATCACAACGGCGGAATAGCTCGACAGTACGAGTAGCTTCCCAACTTTCGATGTATTAGGTACTTCAATTTATATCATTAATATACACCCCAAGAATTTAGGTCTCTAAATTAATGAATAATTCCTTGAAACGTATATATTTAACAAAAAATAAAAGGTTTATTTTATAACGAGAGATGCAAACTACCCTCATTTTGAAATAAGTAAAAATTCGGATAAGACTTCACATCTTAGTAAGCTAGACCTCGGTGAACTCTTTAAATTTAATTACCACTCCTTTTATCATCTTCTAGTGTTATTATAACTAGTAACACTGGATAATAACGTTCTTACAATCAAACGATGGCAAAATAGGTTTAAAATGGTACAGGGACGAAATGATGAATAATGAAAACAGTATTTCTCAGAAAATTTGTTTCTTTCTAGCAAATTAATCGTTTACAGTGTAATCCTGGGTAGGTACTGCCCAAATGATTGCTGTGAAAATTGCTGCTCGACCGGGCTTGCAGTTTTTGGCGAATTATTTGATTTTATTGTACCAGTACCGTGTACTAAATCTTGACTATGATTATCGATAATTTGTTTGCAACGATGCTCGTTACGTCCACGTTTTATAGCGAACATATTCACTGCCATTGCTTGAATTCATAACGAGCATTTGGTCAGTACCTTAAGAAACGCAAAATATATGTCGTTGTCGTATACAAGTAAATTCAAAGCAGCATTCTGTGAAAAGCAATATAAAAAGTACAGAATCAGATAAAACTTCGATTAGTTAGGACTTAAGAGATAGAGGCGTTTAATTTACGACATAAAAATGCGGGTCCTTATCAGTAGCGTAGCTAGGTGGACAAGGGCCCCAGTCTACCTAATCCTATCGCTCAAGAGAGAATCGTGTCCTCATGCCCTCTTTTAGCATAGCATGAATTAAATGATCATCCAAAATTATAAATCGCAACAAGAACGTTTAAAAATCCTTTTCTTCTACGCGTATATCTGCTCAAAGATAAGGTTAGAGGGCCCCTAAGTCCCGGGGCTCTGGTGCATTGTACCACCTGGCCCTACGATAGCTACGCCACTAGTAAGGACCTCGACCATATAAGGATATCAAAATGATTTGAGATTCATCAACTATATATAATTTTCCTTTAACCCATTTTGCTTTCTTACTTCACTGTAAAATCTTCAAATCTAATGAGTACTACCTAAGTTAAAATATACGTGTTGAGATAAGATACATAGTAATGAGATTTTTTTGTATTAAAGAAAAATAAACTCTTTGAGCCTAAAACAGTCAATCGGAAGCTGTGGTAGATAGATTACATTGTTTTATCAGCATTTGCATTATTCAGATTTATCGGTAATAATAACAACTTAAAGAATTTACTCTCTCATTGAATTGACATAACTTTCTGTATAATTCAAAGACACGCCCTTGTAGCATAATGTGTCTACAAAATCTTCGATAATTTGTTTCAACTATACAATATTTATTGACGTAGAATACACATTATTAATATTACATAAAAATGTCTACTGATAACGTGATAAGATATTAAATGTAGGTACTTATTGATACTTTTACGACTTTCCTATCCACCTTAAGTGCAGCAGCTGTAAAATGTTAATAACATTCGTTATTCGCATTTGGTGTCGCAGAGCACTCAAAGAGAATAGGAAAGAATTTATTGAATCGAAATTCCTTAAAATGCAATCATAGACAATCCTAGCTTTTAGAATTTGGAATGTGCGTTTCAAATTAGACGTAAACATAGACTATATTTACCAAATGCGAATATCACAGATAGTGTTAACCACTGCACTTAAGATAGACTAGAAAACTTATAGTAATTCGTAGACGCTTCGTCTCATAAAACCCACGACCGCACTATTTCTGTAAAGGGAAAAATTTTGAACTGTAATATTGCCAATTGGCGCGGACTAAGGCACTTGAGAATCGAGGCCGAGAAGCAAGCCACAGATTACATATTTAGGACGCCTTCTAACTTATAATGTTGATATACTTACTCCGACGTCCCGGCATCAAACGTACAGTGATCCCATCCGGTGAGCGAACTGTACAGAAATAGACCATATTAAAAACATCAAAGAAAGGTTACAAAAACTCAAACTCAAACAGCATTCCAAAAACAACAAAATGTTAGGTTTGAATTAGTGACTTACCTTGAATGTTGCCATTTTTCTAAGGAAACGTACATAGCACAGCACTAGGATAGGTGTCTTAACAGTTAAAGACAACTTAGAAAGCATTGCAAGATAAGTACAATTACAAAGGTTGTAAATGCAAATGAAAATTTTCTTTCTTATATAGAATTATGTAAATTAAAATTTTAATTAATAAGTAACATTTTATTCTCCAATATACATAGAATTTAATGATCACATTAAATATTGTAATAAGTAAAATTATTATCTACAATTCAGAATTTCATGAAACATAACATTCTACCACCTAACCTAACAAAAATCCATTAACGGCTATCAATGTATAAAATGACAATAAAATTCATAAGTTTAAACTCCTTATAAGCTATTTATATCCAGTGTCTTGGTGCAGATTAACAATCCCTTATCTACTAGTATACTTGTTTTATTGTTAATGCAAAAAAAAGACATGTTGAATACATAAAAAAATCTGGAACCATTGGACACGCACACAATACGCTAGATATAAATAAGGTTATATTGTGTATTTAGTAGTTGTGATGGCAAATACACAATTTCCCCGTTTCTACAAGTATCCTAACAATATTTGTAATAGTAAGTACTACCCAGTGTAAAATTACAATAAGCATATTGCGTCTTAAATTAACATTTATTTAAACTGTGATTTCTATTTGTAAAATATTTATTATTGTTTCCACACATTGTGATGCAAAATAATAATCACAGAAGCCCTGTTTGAATCCTGTCTTAAGTCTAAAATGCTTTAGTAAGGCACTTGAAGTTTGTAAAATGTGATGTCTATTAGTTACAATATAATTTTAATTTAATCATATTTGTATAGTTAAAATATTATGCAGTAATATTTTATAAAAAATGTACATACCTACGGTTATAAATAAATAACTCATAATAGAAGTAAGGCAAAAAAAATCTTTAAGGTTCATATTTTGTTTTATAACATTGAGGGGATAGTGCTTTCAAAAATTAAAGGCTCTTATTATTAGAGTATCTATCTGTTGTATATACTGAGAACCAATATAGAAGAGAAGAAATACTAATGTTGTAAACAAGAAAGTATGTTTGTTACTCTGAATTATTATGATTTTTGCAGTAAAAGCTAAGACGTGTAAGCAGTATAGTACAAAGTACATACTAGTGGAAAAAATACCTAGTAACCATATAATATTTGTAACAATTGCACCATCCCCAGGAAAACTAAAGAGGTATCAAGTAAAATGTTAAAACATTCAATAAGTGCACTTGTGATTTTATAATTTACGCTAAAATTGTGCGCAAACTGAGCAAATGTATTTGAGCAAACTTTAGCTACCAATTGATAATGCTTCAAATGACTTTTTGGCAAGGCGCTTAGTCTTCTTTTGAGATCTTATAATGTCCCTTTATGACCAGACAATGTGATGTAAATAGTATAATAATAAATATAGCCTATTCTAAAAATTAATCTCTTCAAAAATATACAACTAGATACTAGGTTCTATAGCAGTTGAATCGATTGAAATTCCGTTTATCACTTGTTCCATTAAAGAGTTCATTGCTTAATATCACAGGATGGACTATTCGAACCTAAATCGTGTGGTATATTATTGACTAATTACCTATATAACAAACAAATCCAATTAGATCACTAAGACAAATATTTAAGTAACCAAACGTAGTTGCTGATAATCGTTCATTTCAGTAACTAATCGGAAAGTAAATGGTTAATGAAACACACATGCACTAATGAATAGTTCATTCATAGTCATGCAGAGGGTTAACTGGCAACACTTATAGCCTCACTTAGAACACAACACTCAACAGCATAACTGTTACTTGGACCACAACACTTTGTCCTAATAAAATCGTCACTCAGTTCAGTCATTATAACGTCCATTATCGACATATATTGGAACATGGTTAATTATAGTTCCATAATATAACAGTCACTTATATTAAAATAACAGTGATACTTTTTACTGTTAAATATTGACGTCAATATTATCCATTTTGAACCCGACATAAGAGAACTGAAGAAATGGAATCTAACATATGTACCGACATATTTTTCCGCTTTTTATATATAGCTTATATCATGGATCTACGAGGGTTTTTCTTCTTACAGTGTAACGGTGTAATTGATAACTGTTATTTTAAGAATGTAACTGTTCAGACATTAACGGCATAGCCATTGGACAGATTAGGCAGCGAACCGGTGACCTCAGTATTCGTTGATAAGTTCGCTCCGCGCCGGTTCCTGTCCCTGAACGATCCGAACCCAGAGTCGTGAGTGCCGGCAGGGGACGTACCTACGAATATCCTCGGCATATCGCACTCTTCGCACTTGTCGAGCAGCGGGTGGTTCCTGAAGGTGCACATGTGGCACTGCCACGAGGCTGAGGGTCTTTGACCCGTGTAGATGTTGCTGTAGAAGTTGCCGGCGTCATCTATCTCTGGTACTGGCAATACTCGGGGTGCTGAAAAATGAGGATGAAAGTTGTAAGTGTATTTTGAATATTTTGGGTAGTATATCACAACTTATGTTTGTACAATATGACCTTAATATATATTAGTTAGTAGTTTTTTTTAACTGTTATAATTACGAGAAAAGTTAAACAAGGATCTATTAAAGCAAGACCTTTTTATACTTATACAAAAACAGAACGTAAAATATCTAACTCCTGATGGGTAAAAAAGATTCAAGTGCATGACCAAAATGATCCTTTTTATGAGAAGTCTGTAAAAACCTAATGCAATGACAAAATATTTTTATTTGTGGTTTGAGATTGCAAACTAAACAGTATTATAAAGTAATAATAATAATTGGAATAAGAAAATGTTATTTTAAATTTTCTATTAAAAATTAGATGATGACAATGCAAAAAGTTTATCATTAGTTGTTTTATATGTTGCAATAATACTTAATATATAGAGAGAAATAGACATACGAAAAAAAATGATTTCTTCTCATAATAATCTTTGACATTATCAAACCACAAAAAAGTGGTCGACATAGTACGAGTATATGATAGGATACTAATATGTTTTGAATATTTTACAATGCGCTAAAATGATCTTACTTTTCTTTATTATATCTACTTTCTATAAAAAAGAAGATTTATTTACCCCTTGACCCCAACTCAAGTCGTTTCGCCAGCATATCACATTCATCTCGCAATCGCTCCACATGATCTCTGAGCCTTGCTGAAGTCAAAGCTGATGGAGTGGGCGCCGCCAGGATCTGAGTCTCACGGTTCAGTTGGGCGAGACGACCTTTCTCTTGGGCTAAGGCAGCCGCGAGACGGGATAAGCGCTCCTTTTGACGCTCTATTAATGAACGGTCTGAAAATGGCAGCATGGTATTTTAATAAATGTGTTCTTTTTCCATATGTCTCACAATGAATCAAAGCCACAATATTACTCGGAAGTAGCATTCCTTGGCTAGTACAGAAACCAAATGTTTCCTGTTTCTAGAAAAAGACCTATCCACATTATAATCCACTCAAAGCATACTTAAAATTAGGTTTTCTTATTAATTCAGTTTTATTAACAAACGGATAATATTGGTACCTGTATTTGGTGGTTCCGGTGCTGCTCGTGTCGGTCTGGGAGAATCAATGTGTGATGTTTGTGGCGGGGGCGGCGCTCTTCGCTTCGGTCTCGTCGTACTTGGGCTCACAGTAACTGTGACATGTCCTTCAAAGCCTCCATCTTCATTATTTTCTCTTACAGGACTGGCCATGTTTGATGTTGGTGTACAGACTGTAAGATTTACTGAAGTTATAGCTCTTGGACTCTCATAATCTAACCAAGACTCATACCCACGACTCAGGTCCATATGACAGTTGACATTGACTGACAAATTCAGGGGATACCCACCCCTTTCTTGCTTGTATGGACTACTTTTTGACTCCTTATCAATTTTTTCCACGGGTGGTGTTGGAGACACTGTTTGATAATTCTCTGGATTAATATTCTCACTAAATGCAATATCTGGAGCTGGTTTTATGAAATTCAATGTGTTTGGTCTTTGTGGTTTTTCTGGTTTTGGTTCCACTGTTTCTGGCTTTTGTTCCTCTTTTTCTTTCTTAATACTTTTCTTACCTTTTCCACTCTCTAATTTTTCATTTAAATTTGATCTTATTTTATTACTTTTTAACAGTTTAAAATTGGTGCTACCTGGTTGGTCACTTATAATTTGTTTTTCACACTCAGGTGCTGTGTTTGCGACTCCATCCTCATTAGTTTTATTGTCATTTGTCAATTCTAAATCACTTGGTGACTCTGCGCTATATTTGACAAAGCAATTATCAAGATTGACTATGGTTACTGGTGAGCAAGTGGGTGCATTCTGTTTTAAACCAACAACATTTTGGTTAGCATCTGTATTTATATTTGTATCTTCATCTAGACTTGTATTAGTGTTGATTAAAGCCTTTTGTGGGGCTTGGCAAGTAACTGACTGAACATTTAAAGACTTCAGAGCCTCATGTTTTACAATTGGCTGATTACGACACTTTTGTGGTGGATTGATTTTAAGCTCATTGAGCTGTCGTGCTGCAGCTAATGAGGACGCATGATAAGCATGCGTTAGGGAGGTTTTGACTTCCCTGTGCAAATGTGTTTCACAAGCTTTCTTATCGTGACAGTATAACTCAATGGTATTTGACACAACATGATCAGGAATACCCGGAAACTTCTGTTTCAGCTCATGGAAAAGTTGCATAAGCGATATGTTGGTGCAGGCACATGGTGATGGGGTCGTAGCGCTATCGGAGGGGACAGACATCGCCGCCCATCCTCGCGGAAAACCACCTCTCCGCCGCGAACACTCCCTTCACTACGTCAGTGGAAATTACAGCGCTCTCACCTAAAACAACTAATAAACATTTTAAAGCAGAAGCGATATTTTATTGTCTTTTCGTTTCAGTGACGTCACAAACCTACGATTACTTTCTTAATTACGTATTCATCTCAGGGAACTACCGCTGTGATGGTTAATGACTCTTTAATCTCCACTGTACACATGTGGCAAAAAATAACACAGCGAGACAAGACAAGACTGAATTTTTATATTATCTTTTGTTATCATCATACCACAACTATTTTTTCGTCACCCATTCCGTAACTGGGCACTGCACTTCGTAAATTTAATATCAATTCGTTATGACCTTGTAATTGCACCTTTTCTTAAACAATTTCTGCACTTACTCAGGTTTAAAAACGTAAGGAAACCCAAAAATAAATTGCGAAAATCACAAACTTGTCAATCTGTTTCTTCCATTTTGGTTGCAGGCTAAAGATAATTTATGTTGTCTATTTTGACAAGTACAATTATTTATGTTTATCTATGCTTTTAAATAATTTCATCATAAATTTTAAAATTATCACATTTTATTTAGATTGGTAAAATGCTCTTGTTGCATGAACATAAAATTTTAAAAATCTTGTCGATATTTTTTACAAATAACACGTCTTCATTTAAACCGAAAATGACGTTTGAAGATTTAAAAGTTGTGTAAAAATGACGTTGACAATTTAGGTAATCACGATTTATTTCCAAATAATTTGTTTTTAACTTGGAGCACTTAATTTTTAAGCGAATTAGAAAAAGTGGGCAAAGTTTTATTATTTTAGACATGGTGGACGATTTGAGAAAGTATTTGAATCATTTGCTTGAAAAGTACGAGCGTACATATAATACGTATTAAATAGTATACAGTAGTAACAAAGAAGTAAAGAAAAACATGTTGTATTTTTCAGAGTTAATGGTTTACACTGTATTTTAATAACCGATCGTGATGGAGTACCCGTAGTTAGATCAGTGACCGAAAAAGCGCCTCAGTTGGCCTTACGACCGAACTTTATTTCAACCTTTGGTATGGCTACCGACCAAGCTAGTAAACTAGGTCTTGGAAGGAATAAAATTATTATATCAATGTATTCTAGCTATCAGGTAAGTGGCAATCATCATCTATTTTACAGGTCTCACTATTTTCACTTTTCACAACAGATAAAACTTGTTTAGGAAGATAGTACTATGGTAGTTAGTATAGTAAGTATAGTAATTTAATTAATTTGTATCTCAAATTCTATGTAATTCATGTTATGCTAAGTAATTTGTAACTGAGCTACTGAAGTAAGCATGGGATGCCTTGTGTGTGAAATTTGAACTTGATACTTTTTGTGTTTAAAAGCTAGTTTAATTTTCTGAGGAAACAGTCTGTCACACCTTATAACTTTTAAAAATATAAATGTTCCTATGGTTTGCATTGTCTTATATTATTATTTAATTTTTAGGTTATTCAAATGAATAAACTGCCACTGGTGATAACCTTCATTGGGAGTGATAATTGCAACACTGGACATATTTTAGCCCTTGAAAGTCAAATAGAACCATATTTAAAGGATCTGGGAACAATAGTAGCCGATGCTCCTTGATCTATGTAGTAGATTTAAATATTTATACATTCATAGTAATGGATGATATTGAAAATTGGCAAGTTCTTGTCAGTATTATATATTTGTTTAATGTTGCTTAGGCGACATTAAACATTATCATTATTAATATGTATTACCTTAGGGTAATACATATTAATAATGAGAAATAACGACAATAGCATCAGTAACAGTTTTATAAGGTAAGATGCGAATCAAAAAAGTAAAATGCAAATTTATTCTAAATTAATTAAATCCATGACCTTATTAAAAGTTATTATTAGAAACATGTATAAATTTTGGCAAATAACAGAACAGACTTTTTTTTATCGTTTCTTAAAATGTTTTTTTTTATAATTATGAGATGTTTGTTTATTGTTAGAGTAAAATATCTATAGAATAAAAAGTAATATTGTACATATACAAATAATGTTTTAAGTGTTTGTGCTTATAAAATAATTATAATTTTTATTCAACCATTTTGTTGTTTCATTACTTCGGTTGTAATAATCTTGTTACACAAAAGAAAGACAATGAGATTTTTAAGCATAAATTTATTATGTTATTTTACTGCCTTGTAAAACCATATATGACAGTTGGGTGTATAGTAGTGACATTAATACAATACATAAATATTAAAATTGGATGTTCATAATAATCTCAAGGAAAGACAGGCGTGATTAAAGGTTTTCCATATAAGGCATTGACAACGTTTCTTGCTGCTAATTCCGCCATGTCGTTTCGTGTGCGTACTGTTGCACTTCCGATGTGTGGGAGAAGGACTGAAAAAAGGGGATTTTAGTAATGATTCGATTTATAACATGACAAATTCTGTGGTGGTAATAACCACCAAAATGGGTTGACCCATTTAAAAGATTTTTAGTTAAGCAGGTCTCGAACATTACTGAATTAATATTTACTCTACCAATTTGAAAAGTTTGTGAAGGTTGACAGTTTAGTTATCTTACATCTTATTGGCTTGACCAAATTAGATTGGATAATGTACAACGAAGTAATAGATGCAAATAAAATATGATTCTTATTTATATATGAACATATGCTTACACAAGTTCGGCAAAGTCAACAGCTTATGGTCCTTAGGTAGAGGTTCGGGTGTGGAGACATCTAGTCCAGCTGCGTAGATCTGTTTGTTTTTCAGTGCTTCATATAAGTCGTCTTGATTGACGAGGTCTGAAAACGTACACATGTTAATTTTTTTTCGCTCTATTGTTAACGGTTTAAAACACCGTATTTAAAATAAATTATAAATAAGTAGTACAGTTTTATCTAAATGTGTACTACTCGCTTAGACTACAGACAATGCATAAGTAACTAAGTAGTAGTTTTCCAAAATCTTTCACACTTTCTTCGATATTGCGAAGTATAAATAGATGTAACGACGGTGTGGCTGAAATATTGTCTCCATCTCTGTTTCAAATAATAAAATGATGTTCTTTCATGTCTGGCAAACTGTACCTCCTCTTCCAACGTTGACAATGATGGCGTTATTCTTCATCTGCGCGAGAGTGGTCTTGTTGATCATATGCTTCGTCTCGTCAGTCAAGGGTGCAGCTAACAGGATGAAGTCACTCTGATTCAGCAAGGTGTCTTGGGGTACGAATTCCGCGTTGAATTCTTTGGCTGAAATAAATCATGAGAGATAAAACACATAGTCAACTATTTCATGATATATTTTAGAAGCAAAGAAATAGTCATCAATCATATAGTTACAAACGGAGACAGCTTTCTGAAATATTAAGTTTAATCAATTACCGTTTAATTATGATACCAATTATGTACAATTGTTGAATCGAAAGAGAGAAACAGAGAGCAGCGCCACAAGCGGCAGAATAACGAACTATATAATGGTTGCATTTCATTACATTACTAATTCTAACACTTTCCCTACGTAGCGACGCCGAGGGTTGAATCTCAGGGAAATATGGTCATTTGAGAAGAACAGAACAACAAATGTGTCAATGAATGACGAAACGTGGGCTTGGGACTTCTTATTCAAGATCTGTATAATGCCGTCCGGTTAAAATTAACACATTTATATTTTTTTTGTAATTAAGAACATGAGAAACTAACCTTCTGGCTTTTCCCTATGACCGCTGTATAAGAATTTCGCAACTTCAAAGCCAACTAATCGCTTCGCTGTGGCCTGTCCAATTCCGCCGAAACCGACGATACCAACGGTGCTCCCGCGCAAATCTTGCCCAAGAACATTTTGGAAGCCGATTCCATCCCAGACGCCTCTGGAAAAATATATATGCACATACAGCTTATGATGTTTTTTTCTAATCCGAAGGTAGTTTATTCAAACACATAAATACAACTAACAGTGGGTATATGAACTCTCAGTAATTAATGCAAGTGGTACATACACCTTAAAAATAACGGCTTAGTACGCATAATATATGTACTACATAAAATGTAGTAACTACATGATTGACGGTTTCATTTTAATTACGAGTACGTACTTCGCGTTTTAAACCCCCAAAAGTGAGATATGTTTGATATCCTAAGAGATATTTCAAATAAACATTATGATATTATTACTGTTTCAATTATCAATTTGTTAAAAACGTTTTAAATTCTAAACCTTTTCACTTGATCCAAGTTTTCAGGGAATCGTCTAGCAGCTGCTATCATCAACGAAACGGCTATTTCAGCTACAGCAGCGCTCAGCACATTCGGTGTATTTGAGAGTTTGATACCACGAGCCTTCAGTTCCGGAACGTTGCAGTTATTGTAGCCAGCTGAAGCGGTGCTTACTAATGTCAATTGCGGACCTGTATCATAAGACATATATATGTACAAAATCTACTTAGAAAGATGTATGTACAAATCCGGGCGAATCTCACTCTCACGACTTTATGTTAGTCCAAGCTTTCGTTGGTCATACCAATGACCCACCATAATTATTTGTATAGAGTAATGTCTATTTATATGTACAGTAACATGCAATAACAATATATATAAGTATATTAATAATTCTTGGTACGCGATAATGAAAAAATATTATTTCAATCAGTCAACAATTTAACTTACCAGCTTTATCTAATAATTCCTTAGTGATCTGATGGTGGGAGACCCATACAAGTGCTGAACACCCTGGAATTAAGTTCATCAGCTCTTGCATGTTCTCATTGAGTCCTTCCTCGCCAAAGCCGAAGTACCGGGACTTGAGGACCGTGAAACTAACGTAGCACAGATTATCCGATTAAATACGAGACTCTCTGAATTAATAATTGACAAAATTATTGCCGCTAAAGGCATAGTGTTAATCTAAAGGGCACAGGGATTGAAAATTGTGAACATAATTCTTACACAAAAATATTATAAATGAATTTTCGCCTAAGATAATTTGCGTATTTTTATTTTACTTTCTATTAAAAATCATGTACATATTTTGTTAGGTCACTATGCCTCTAGCAGCTTCATATAAGATACATAACAGACATATAAACATTGCCATTATATTTTCCCGCGGCTCAAACCGGGCAATATCGCCCTTCACTCAAAGAGAGATTTAGGCAATGCTAATTTTTTTGGATTTAATTCAATTTCAAATCGATCTATTTTTAAATCGTCTATTCACAATGTTTATGAGTATTTTTTATAAGAGTATTCTTATAAAAAATACTGTTACTGTTGTATTTTTTATTACAAAAAAACATCTATAATTCGTTTTATCGGCCACTAAAACTAACAATGTGACTTGTAATTAAATTTCTTGAGATACTATATTGCTTATTGCAAATAAGTAAATTCTGAGTGTAGGACATTCAAACAAACCAACTTCATTTATAGAGTTTATGTGTGTTATGAAATATGATTATTATCTCTGGTCACAAACATGTTATTTCTGTATGTAAACTGTCAAACGTTCCTGTCAATTAATGTTTTTCAATAAAAACTGAAATAGAAAATAAATCATTAATTCAATCGTGTCGTGTACAAGTAATATTAAAGCAAAAAATACTCACTGCTCCTCTAATATTTTAATCCCGCTGTCGGCGAAATCGTTTGAAGATACGAGGACTTTGAGATTTTTCGTCATATTTGTTGTCAACGCGTGTACTTGTAATGGGGAAACAATAAGGACTAATAGTAAAACGGTACTTAAAGTGAAATAACGCATTGTTCTTGTAAATCCCATTATCTTTACGTTATCAACCTTTTAGATTGTGTTTTGTGGCGCTCGTATTGAGAACTGAGTCTTTTGATCTCGTTCAAGGTCTTACGGGATCGTTTCTATAAAAAGTCGGCGTGGGCGCATTGATTGTAGTTCCATTTCTTGTATGCTTGACGCATGTAATTGAAGCTGTACGTGCGGGAAGCAAACATATATAATTCACCAAATATTTACCTACCAACAAGTTTTTATAATATTATATCTTACATATAATATAAATAATAATAAAATGAAAAATATTTCTTCTTTTTAAATATACAAAAGCGTTTTTTACTACATATACGAGTTATTTAGTACCTGTCAATATTATCACAACGTTACGACCTGTAAATTTTATTGATAAAAATATGCTGCTTAATTTTAAAGCTCAAAATAAAATAAAAACTATTAAAATTTAACGATAGTATTATAAATAAAGGTTCATGTACAGACTATTACAATTAACAGATATTATAAACAATACTGCTACTAGACACTTAACATTAAACAAAACAGGAATCGTCTTCACATTTCACACTTATAAAAATACTTAGCAGACTGGATAAACCATAGATTTTCCATCCAAAGCGCGAAGTATGTTTTGCGCTGAAGTGATTGCCATACTGTCGCGTGTTTTATGTGTAGCACTGCCCAAGTGAGGCAATATTACTGAAAAATATTAAATAAATAAATATTTGCGGTTTAAAACGCGGTTGCTGCAAGGCATTCGAAGCGTAGGGCCGTAGTTAAAATAAATTGTAAATAAAAAAACTAATCTAACCACCTTGTATTCATGCGTATAAGAAATAATCCTCCAACACTAATATACTTCACGTTTTAAGTATTTTATTTAAATGTGTACTATTAACGTAAGCTACAGACAGTATTTATTTAAAAGTAATAAAATGAAGAAAAAGTTAGTATTTGGATAAAAATAGTGTTAAATAAAAAAATATTAAGAAAATAAAATGACGCTTATCTATTCGCGCAAATGCACTGTGTAGGTAAGTATCACCTCAATTAATATTCACTGAAATGATTAAAATAGCGTGTCTGCTATACTAATACGTTCAAACTAATACACCCTGATATAATATCAAGAACAATCATAACTCACAGCAATTTGGTAAAGTCACAAGTGGATGGTCCTTCGGTAATGGTTCGGGTGTTACAACATCTAGACCCGCTGCAAAAATATGTCCTTCTTTCAAAGCGTTATACAGCGCTTCTTGGTTCACTAGACCTGAAAAATATCGAAATATATAAATTAATAAAGGAATTCTTCTCTGATTGAAGAAAAAGTGTCTTTTTACAACAATAAGAGATTTTAAAGTAAAAATAAGTCAATTTAAACATTAATATCTCCTCCCCTCAACACATAAAATATAAAAAAAAACAATATTTAATATGGTCAATTTCTAAAACTGAAAAACAATTTTGAGCTTTTCCCGGTAAAAAATAACCTCATTCGTTTTTTTTTGAAGTTTAAATCCGGATATGAAAAACATATTATGTACCTATTTGTGGTTGTGTCAATAAAATAAACGACAATATAATCACAATGATAACGATAAAATATTAGGTAATATATTAAAGTTGATTTACTATTGCGAAATATTTCTTGATAATACCGTCTGCTAGTTTACAATCTTTTATCTTTCTGCTTTAACTCGATATGATAAACTTTTAGTTTCATTTATTCGTAACATTATTTGTATAGTAGGTATATAGTTAAGGCTTGGACTATTTATTAAGCTGTACTTTGAAATAAAACACTTTTAACTGAAGATGGATTGCTTCAGCCCCCGCTGACCATGTTTGCTCCTAAGGCCCGGAAACGTAGGGCCTAAGTAAAATAAATGTAACAGATCTATTTTTCGTTTTAAACCGTTGAAAGTTGTACTATCCTCTTAAACTACATAGAGTCGTACTTGTTTAATTACACAAAATGATGGATCTTAGTTGATTATAGTACTAGTAATGATAGAACGCATTTGTGTTCTAGCAGACATTTAAAAAATGTATGACGCAACCCAGATACGACCTGTGACGTCAGAGCAAGACAGCTACCGTGCCACTACGTCTTCCAAAATGTTATAATTTTTGAGATAAGAGTATGTAGGCATGTCTTGCCAAGGGTGTCCCCGATAGAAAATAATAATAAATGTAGGCATGTCAAACTTTACCAACCTCCCCTACCAATGTTGATGAGAACAGAGGTGCTCTTCATCAGTTTGAGGCTATCAGCATTTATTATGTGCTTGGTCTCAGCGGTCAGAGGGCAAGATAGGATAACAAAGTCACTTTCTCTCAGTAATTGGTCTAAAGAAACCCGTTCAGCGCCAAGAGATTTCGCTGCAAATAAAATGTAAAATTTAGAATGGCAAAATTACGAAAACAAATATTGATGTAGTTTTAAAGAGTATACATGCCAGAGAGAAAAATTACCATTTTATTCATTAAGTGACATATGTAGTTTGAAACATAACCTATTTTCATAAAAATCCTTAAGTTACAAAATACAAATGAAAGGGCCGTTAAAATCAAATAATAAGACAAAACAAGATTTAGGTATTATTTCACCAACCTTTAATGAACAATTTTAAATGTTAAGTAAGAAGAATTTATGAATAGCTAGAAATATATAAATATTAAGGATTTTACGTTGAAATATGAATTTTACAAATACCTTCCGAAAAAATGCATACTTGTAAAATTATAATATTACCTTCAGGCTTGTCCGACCGCCCGCTATAAATGAACTTAGCTACATCGAATCCCTTTAACCTTCTCACCACAGCTTGACCGATTCCTCCTAAGCCTACCAACCCTACTGTACTACCAGCTACATCTTGCCCCAGTCTCCATTGGACACCAAATTTCCAATCTCCACTAGAAAGACGTAATGTTTCTACTATTATCTTATAAGCTCCCTCGAAATTAATAAACTTTATGGCGTAGTTCGAGCAAATAATTAAATATTGTGCCTTTTTTTAATTTTTCTAACATTCGGTTTATATTAAATTTTTTAAAGGTAAGAAATATGTATAAAAAACGATTGTTTAAATAAGACACTCAAATTTCTAGATATTATGTACCTCTCTAACTCTCGAATTCCAGCCTTAAATCCTCTAGCAGCACCCAAAAGCAGGCCTACGGTAATATCAGCTACCGCATTGTCCAGACTATGCAATGTGTTGCCGAGGGGAATCCCCCGTTTCGCCACTTCGTCAACATCTATGTGATCTACGCCTGACGCCATTGTGGTGATTGCTTTTAACTGTGGACCTGTGAGATTAAACGACGCGCGACGTGATCGAGTTCCATGAATAATTTTCTAAACGGTGGTTTAAACAAAAAAACCAGTACGCGGTGGGAGTATTCATAGAATATTATTATTGCAGCCCGCCTGAGGTGAAAAAACCAACTTCAGGACAAACAAGCATAGAGTCTATTTGATGGAATGTGAAGTACTTCAGCCATATAGCATCTAAACAAGATTCGCCGTCGAGCTACTTTGGCTTCGGATATTCGAAATCACAGAAAACCAAAAGGCGATTAAACTGCAGGGTTTCTTGTTGTTGGACCCGGTGGGAATCGAACCTACGTCCCGTAGATTGTTCAATAAAGAATATCAATCAAACTTTCAAATATATATAAAAAAACACCTTGCCTGCTAAATCTAATAGTTCCTTTGACAGACGATGTTTCGTATTCCATATAAGGGCATCTACGCCCTGAATATTCTTTTCCACTTCCGGAAGCATTTCTGGATGGTAATCCAAATATGGTAACACTGACACTTCGAATCTGAAACGATTAAGATGGAACTCTGCGCTATCTAGGTTATTTATGTTTTATAGAGCAAAATATATAAAAAAAATCATTACGACATTTAAATCTACGATCAATGATAATACGATGTACGTTGCTCATAAATGCATTATTTACGTCAATCGTAGTAGATACCCAGGGGGTGAATTATTGTTTTGTTATAAAATACACATACTACTACTGAGCTACTTGCCAAACAGTCGAATAATGCATATCCGTAGTTATAAACCGTCTCAATAAATTCCTTGTAAATCCGTTATTTAAAAAAATATTAAGTACTTCTATTCATTAAAATATTTAACGTATATACTAGAATAGTTGAGTAAATAGGGCGTGTCAAGAGATTTTTTGTATAGGTATGTATCATATAATGACGTTTAATCGTCGTGTTATTATTAAAAAGTACATTTATTTATATTACATTTCTAGTGTTATAGTGATGAATAATATTTAATGAAACAACCAGTATTTTAAGTGTTAACTAATTATTTCTTTGATAATAACTAATGACAATCATATCTAGGTAGTTTACTAACACATTAACGTTTTGATATATTAATAAAATTAAAAGAGTTAGTACTGTCAGTAATTAAAAAATGTTCGAATTCGTAGATCACTTACTTATTATGTAGCAAATCTAATCCAGCCTTTGGGAAAGTTCTATTTACGATCAATACTTTTTTAAGTGACATTTTAAACATTAAAATATTTTTGGTTAAGTTAACAACACGGTACCGCACAAAAATGTTAGCCTATCGTACAAGGTCTTGATCAAATGAATGAATTAAGGAAGATGACAGTCAGCTGTGAGCCGCTGTGTATTTATAACCTAAACTTTAATATGAAATAAACATTTCATTGCCATAATATTTGATATTTATTGCGACGCTCGAAATTTTAAGATAACTAAAGTACTATAATACCCAGATTAAGCAAATAATGATCTTGTTCTGATGTATTATATGAAACTATTATGAAATAAATTCTAATAATGTTACTTACAATTACGCTATCTATTGCTGAGTAGTGAGATTATTCCTGTTTTAGGATTTTAATATTTACATCACTAGATGGCGTCAGCTATAAGAATCAGGATTTTTTTTTCATAGCACTGCAATCATTTTTCTAATTTTTACGAATAGCACATGATAGCATAACTTCAACTCTTTATAGCATACTCGTTCAATATACTACTTTGCAAAAAAGCAGTGCTAATTGTGTATGGGAAAATTCCGCAATTTTATAACTTCATATTACAAAAACAAGAAAAACAATGTTTTTTTTCTAAATAAGCAATACAAGTTTAGATTCGATATTTCCATTTTGCAATATTTGCAAAAGTCAACTTTCTTATAATTATTAAAAAAAATAGCGACGTTGCACAAGTAATTTGTTTTCCTCGATAACCTTTAGTTACGTTAAAAATATAAATAACATTTTTTATCCCTCAACAAATGGTGATAATTTTTGAAGTACCTAAAATGAAGATAATAACCAAATTATGAATTGTCAATTATAAAAGGTTCACGGCATATTAATGTGATCAACGTCTACGCCACCTGATGTGTTTTTTAACTACAGGTGTTGTTTAGGGGAGTTGCAAAATGTTGTTATATTCCCCTTAGTTCTGACCAGCCTATAGAACCTAGTAAATCTTCTTTTATTTTTGCTCTTTGGCACAATTACCATGCGTATCTAAATTGCACCTCAAGTCTCGATCTACAAACAATATTTACATCATACATTTGTCTCCACACTTTCACATAAATACATTCTACCACTTAAGATAGTGCCAAATCAAAGGGCTTCAACACCTGTTTACTGCTATAGTACCTACTTATTCACTTTGAATATGTACCATTTAGTACAATTACAAAAAAGTGCAGCGGACAGGCCTTTTTTCTTTAAAGGTCTATTACGTTTACACAAATAAAAATATATATGTATATAAAGTACTAACAAATATTTTTTTATTTACTTCATGGTACTACTAAGAGGCTGCAAGTGGAACAAAGCATTGCTAGGGCAGCCTGTAGCACGTGCCCGCACCTTGGCATGACTCGCGTGACAGGTGAAGCGCGGGTTCTATTCGGAAAACGGAAATTCCGCATGCTGCCCGGGTCTGTTACAAGTTCACACTAATTTTATCACGTGCTCTTAGTACACCATAAAATTATAATCACAATGAAGAAGCCGTTTCTTTGTATTCAACTTCAAAATTGACAAATTTTTGGGCGAAAATTGTAAAATGTTTATTCGACAATTAACTTATATTATGTTACATTTCTCGTTTCCGCCGTTCGGTCCACTGCTGGATATAGACCTCTTCAAAATACTTCCAGTACAACTGGTCGTTTGCTGTTTGAATCTAGTGTTTCCCAGACATGCCTATTGTTTGTTTATTTTTTCTGTTTTTGTCTATCTTTTAATTTCTGCGAAACTCTTTACCGGCTAAATTATAACAATTTGACATAACAACATATCAATGACTTCAATTATACTATTGATGTCGACGCAATGACATTTAACAAATTAAAATAATAAGAGTTAACGAAACTAAGAGATACGATTTTGTTGATAGGTACAAATTATATATGTTCAATGATGCTACTCATAATAATTACTCGTAATATAACCCCTAAATGACAAATAGTGGAAGCAATTTGCTCAAGTGTAGCAAATAGTGGCTCGTTTCAAACGCAGTCCAAGAAAGTCGACAGTTTGGCGCCAATTCCGATCGATGACAGCCCTCTCGCTAGACTCCGAATTTTTAATCTATAACCAAATTGCACTCTGTACAGATTATAACGATTTGCAATTGCTTCAATATAGATAAAATCCTTCTAAGTTATACCTAATATTTTCCTTCCATACGCTATGTATTCAATATAAAATGTTGAACATTATTTATTATAATGAACTAAGTAATTGAAACACTATTTTAACTCAAGGAACAAATCAGTTGTATCAGTTAAGCTTAAATTTTCACGCTTGTAATTAAAATCGTTCACACGTCGGCAAAACCCGAACCGCGGCATAAAATCAGTGACATTTCAGAAAATAAACACAGACAAATTAAGCCAAGGTCAAAGTTTAAGCGCATTAGTTCTGACTCCAATTAACATAATATCAAGCGAATGTAGGTGCTATTTCAATAAAGGTTAAGTTTATGTTTGTCTTTGAATTGTTAAGCGAAATCATCAGGTTGTCTAATGACGTGAAATATTTAGTTGAAATTTACAGTTATTGATCTTCGACAAAAACGACATTTAGAAATTGGAGGGAAAAATGTTCAAATTTTGAGAGACGGGAACACACGTGTGTTGCCTTCTGTAAATCGTTAGTTATATTTTTTATCATGTCGCTAGTTTGCAGTCACATTGTGTCAACAATAGACGCAGATGTTGCCATGTGAACAGTGGATCGCTATGTGCTGAACGAGGAAGCGTAAGAAGCAAACAGTATGAATTTACAAAGTCGTCTGATAGGAATAGGCCCTTTGATATTTTGATTAAAATAACCCAATTACTATAGAATATCAATGTTTACAAAGCTGTCTTTAATTCACAAATATTTTTTTTACAATGGCATTAAATAAATTAAAAATCAATTTTAGATTGAAAAAAATTACGACCCGAGCAGGACTTGAATCGACATAAACAGCGTTTCGTGCTGTTGCTGTAAACCACCTACCGTTACCGTTTTTTACACTTCATGGTTGAATTTTATTTAACCTACTAAGATTATGGACATAGTCAATAAATGCAATGTTGCCATTCATATCCAAACTATAAATGTGAAAAAAAATCACAAGTATCCTTTTAAAGCAACATTTTTTAATTGTTTAGGAACGTTGTTACTACTATCTACTTGTTTAGACAAATACGTATATACTTCAATCGATCCGTAAATAATAAGTTATGTACGATATAAACTACTTGTTTTAAAACAACAGATACTATTAAAGATCTCGTCGCGCGTAATAAAAAAAATAACAGCATGTAATTATTCAATTATCATACTCGGAGCGGGCAAATGAATTTGTTGTGACGAGAAAATTTACGAAATTCCTTCATTGATGATTAAGATAATTCCTGTTTAATTATCTCGCAATCAGGGTTGGCACGTAATTTAAATTCATTTAAATAAAACACTTTAACGGTTTAAAACGCGATGTATATTAGTTAAACTTATTTGAAATTATTTTTAACGCCAACGTGTCGGATGCAGCAGCTGTGGTTACGTTTTAAACCGTTAGTGTTTTATTCAAATGTGTACTACAGACAGTATTTAAAATAAACCTAATTTTAAAATATTCTAGCATTAAGAAGTCTATATTACTTGGTAATATGTCTTCCTAACATTAAAATAACATTAAGTATATCCGTAGTGATACTCTATATACAAACTAACATGTATACCTTATTATGCTTGCAGAAAATATACAAATATTTTACACCTAAACGACTATTTTTATTTATTACATTATAAAAAAAAACGAATACCTACTGGCATATGAGCACTATGAGTAGTACCTACTCATTTACATATACCAAATTTTTATCAAAATCGCTCTAAGCTTGAGAAAATAGAAGAAACGTTGAAGGATTTTGACGTGCTTGTTGGTCTAATGGTAGCAATAATCAACGGGTCGTATTCGATCCCCACCGGGTCCAACATTTTTCTGAAACATCTTCAGATCGTCTTGATATCTGGACATTAAATGGGTGGCAGGATCATCTAACCTCCGGCCGCGTCCCGAACCACCGACCACAGATGAAAACGCCGTGGTTCCGGTCTGTGAATTTCCGATTATTTAACGCCAACATAAGTTGACAGTGCATCTCGTTTACATGCATTGGCTGGGGTATACCACCTACCATTGAATGAACTCCATGACGTCCTCCTCTATCATTAAAAGAAGTAACCCTCTCATTTATATTAGTACCATAAATTTGAACTGACTCACTATAAAATTGGCCAATGAACCGTAGACTGGCGCAAATTAGGTTGCGCAGGTAACCCTACGCCAAATACTTTCGCGGAAGCTCAGCGGGTACTTTAATGATAACGATCGCCATTTTAAGAACAAAATGAACATCTCAAGAGCCACGGTCATTGGCTTCGCGAATTTATTACAGGAACAGGACTATGGTAATCTTTTTTCATCGTTTACGTTGTTGTTTCACGAAAATTTTTATCGAATTTGTTTACGACTCCGCTCGGCGAGTGCGATGTGTCATAAATAACAAGTTGTGAATAATTTAAAGACTATACGGTGATATCGCTATCTTTTGCCACATACAGATGTCACCACTGTGCGTATTATCGACAAATTACGCGTGACAAAGTGATGAATTTTTACAGACAGGTATCACCGCCACTTGTGAATGAAATCTATTCCCTTCTATGAAACTAACTCTTCTGTCTTTTCGTATATTCTCCTAAGTTACTCTTGGGAACATTCAATATAAACTCGTGCCCGTTTTGTTAACGGTACTACAATTTTATTTACAGGCAAGTAGTGATCAGTGCTACTGTGCCCTATTGTGCCCTATTCGACCGAAACAATTTATCGCTTCGCCAAGATTTGAAGCTAGGATAGCGCAATGCTATGTAATGCGTTTAATTATGACCTAGGAATGGATAATTGACGAATCGCGAGTGCGCGGGGACAGTTATGTCAAAATAA